CTCTGCAGCATTGATAATTCACTGTATAGTGAATTAACCATTGAGAAAGCAAAGCAAAGTTTCCTCTTTCCTGCCCAGTGTAATGCATAAACCTAATTTGCAATGCAGCCTTTTGTTTTGTAATAGACATTTATAGGTTTAGTCACACAACCCAGAATTGTGGAGAATTGACGAAGAAATTTCAAGTTTTAGGTCAAAAATGGTAACTTGAAAAATGTCTCTACTTCAATTTTCTTTCCTAAGCTTTTATGGAGTTAAAGGGACACTATAGTCACCAGAACAACTACAGCTTATTGTATTTGTTCTGGCGAGTACAGTCAGTCCCTGCAGGCTTTTTGCAGTAAACACTGTATTTTCAGAGACAAGGCAGTGTTTACATTACAGCTTAGGGATATCTCCAGTGGCCACTCTTTAGATGGCTACTAGAGGTGCTTCCTAGGGGAAGTGCTGCATAGTGTACAGCACTGACTTATAGTGTCTCCGCCTTCTGCATGGATACACTGAACTTTCCTCATAGAGATGCATTGATTCAATGCATCTCAATGAGGAGATGCTGATTAACCAGGGTGGTGTTTGGCCTTGCCTCTGGTCTGCCTCCTTGGCTGAGATCATCAGAATTGACCATCTCAGTCAATCCAATGAATTCCTATGGGAAATCATTGCAATTGGCTGAAATCATTACTTCTGATCATGTCGGCCAAGAAATACATGTTTGTTTTCCTGACCTTACTGGGTTCCTTTAAATTTGTATTTCCTTGGTCAGTTGAAAGTTCCAATTAATTCCAGTTAACTGAATAAGTCATTGAGTGATAATGGTAATACGGTGCCTGATTGATTCCATCCACACCAAAATGCTATCAGATCTTCATGTGATAGCGCAATATTTGCATAGCATAGTAATATATATATAATATTAAACCCTTTGAAAACAATGTTTCAAACTGCTTTTTGGAATGAACATTTTAGTGACAGTGTCACTTTAAGCTGGTTATTGGTATTTGTAGCATTATTTTGACAACAATGGAAGGATCACAGATTGTACAAAAGTTGAAAATGCACTTTTTGTAATAAAAGTATACATAATTTAGGATTGGTCACTTTTTGTGAGCTGCAGAATATTCATTAACTATACAAATGATTTATTCCTTACATTTTCTTCAAATATCTCACACAAAAGAAGGAATAAAAAAAACAAAAAAAAAACGAAACACATTACTTTCCCAAACTTTTCTTAAAACAGGGGTGTTGCTATGATAAAAAAAAAATACCCTGGACTTGAGCCCCCCTGAAAATTTGGGCATCCGTAAAGCCCCACTTTGTCCTCTGAAAAACACCCACCACTGTCCCTCCCTAACTCCACCGATTAACACACCTCTTGACACACTTACAGTTACTTACAGAGACAAACACAGAAACACATACACACATAGACCTAGACTGGTAGACACGCACATACAGAGACATGCACAAGCACACACAGGGTTTGCCAGAAAACTCAGTACTTACACCTCTGTGGCCAACAAGTGTACCAACATGTTAATTTCCATTGCCTTACCCTATGATTGCTCCTAGACTTTAAAAGGTTTTGTTAAAAAAATTAAAAAATTTTAAAATATTGTCGCTCTTCTTTTTAAGTGTTCCTCTGTGTTCTGCTTAGTCGACCTCTTAGTTGCAGACCCCTCCAACACTAGGATGAGATGCTCAACTAAGGAGCATCTCATTCTAGGACTGTCCCTATTCCATAATCCCTTGTTCAGCAGGGAATTATCTCAAAAGTAAAAGATTACCAAAGAGTTGTCCCAGTCATCACATGATTGGAACTGCTTAATAAACACATCACAGTTTACTGTTTAGTATCAGGTCTCTGCTGCTGTCAGACACTCTCTGTAATGACAGTGGGCTTGGGAAGCTCTAAGCACCATGCACTTTGCAATAACGCTTAGTCTTTAACTACTGTCATTGAAAGCCAACCAGTGACATGAAATTGTAGCTTTTGATCATACAAGAGAATGTAATTGGCTAAATTACCATACATTTAACTGCCAACCTGACTTCTGGCATAAATGATTTATATTTGACAAAAATGTAATCAAACCAACATAATGAGGCTTGTTGATGCTATGTTTACATTAAATTGTTTTCTTTATAATCTTCACAGTGCCTCATCAGGGTAACCTGAGCATGAGCATCTATATACCAGCCTATTTTTATAATGCTAATTTTGTTACCTTTTTAACAAGCAATTAAAAATATGTTCTTTTTTTCTTTTTCTCACCCAGGTCTAGTGTTCCATTACCGGGCAGCCAGTAACCGCTACGCTCTGACATACCCAGAGGCCGTGCTGTCTTGCCAAGAGAACTCTGCTGTGATTGCCTCCCCGGATCAACTGCAGGCCGCGTTTGAAGATGGTTTGGACAATTGTGATGCTGGCTGGCTTTCTGATCTATCCGTAAGGTGCAGTAAGAGAGAGATTATATATTGTTACAGCTACAAATCAGGGGTGGGTGGGAATAAAAACCGGTCCCTGAAATAAGATTATGCCAGCCATATCCCGTTGTATCAGTGACTACGGAGTTTGTTTGCATGATGTAGTGATATAGCAGCTGCTGTCCTGGAGTGTTACTCAGACTAATTTTAAGCCGGCTGGAACATATAGGTTGGGATACCTTCAAACTGCTATTGCCCTATGGTTAAAGGAACCCAACCTTAATTAAAAAAAAAAAGTCCTATAAAGGATATGGAAAAATAATGGATGACATCCAACCTTCAGCCATGTAGTCTTTGCATCACTGTCCAGAATCTCTGAATACTCATTCCCTTTCCAGTCTGTATTAAGGGAATTGGAATAACTGAATTAAGGGGATTGTTTTGTTTATTGGTTGTAGCTTGGATGTTTGTGAATAGCTGAAATAGCAAATGTACAGAGATTTGGCTGTTTTAACAGCTAATTGAATAGCATTCACTTTGTAGTACAAATACAGCTGAAATAACTAGATTTCTCTTTTGTAAAAAAATAAACTTTCAGTTGAAATAGTTGAGCTTGGTCACATATACTAACTCTGTTCAGCATTGTTCCCAATAAGCATTGTTCTATCCTTGCCTACGTTCTGTAAACCTGTTAGATAAGCTGTGGTTCTGGTATTCTAGAAAGGTGAACTAGGGAGCATTGGTGTTTTATATAGAAGTGATAAATAATATCCTTGAAACCAAACACACGAATAACAAATTATTATTATTCAAGTATCTACTCACAAATGTTTGTGACGTTATTGCCCTTTCAGTAGATATTATCTTATTGTTTTTTTTAGATTCTTTTATTTTTCTATATATATGTGTGACTAAATTCAGCCCTGAAGTTGATACATAACGGTTTGATGAATTATATGCATTGAAAAGAAATCCATTGTACAAGCTTTTAAGAGCAGCATAGACCTTGGTCAACGTCAAGCTAAGTTTATGAAGTATGTGTTCCTATGAAAAAGGGTTGTTAGACCAATGATTGTAATCAGTTATCTGATTCACCCAGTTTCTGACTCAATAACCGAGGCAATATAACAGGCGATTGAATTAATAGAGTAACACTGAATTTTAGTAAGGGTTATGTGGAGCAATAGAAAGAGATAGGTAGTTGGTACATGAATCAATGTGAAGAGCTATAGAGAGAGAGAGTGATTTTATTGTCATCAACTTCAACATTTTGTTTCAAGAAAACTATTCATCTTTTTCTTCTTCAATGAAGTACATGATTGATAAAAAAATAAATAAAAAAATATTCCAGTTAAGCACATTGCACCAAAACATGTTTTAAAAAAATACTAATACAGCTTGTAACTAGACTACCTAACTTCTAAAGAACATTCACCTGAACATTTGCTGTTGATTTTAAGAAAATTTGCTTGTATTTGTTAAATATACACTGAACAAAATTATAAACGCAACACTTTTGTTTTTGCACCCATTTTCCATGAGCTGGACTCATTTTTCTATGTACACAAAAGGCCTATTTCAAATATTGTTCACAAATCACTTCTTTGCTGAGATAATCCATCCACCTCACAGGTGTATCATATTAAGATGCTGATTAGACAGCATGATTCTTGCAAAAGTGTGTCTTAGGCTGGCCACAATAAAAGACCACTCTTTTGGGGGCAAAAACAAAAGTGTTGTGTTTATAATTTTATTCAGTGTTCTTAAAAAAAAAACATTTACAGGCATACTGTAGTCAAACTTTAAGAAGTATTGCTATTTAGATGTTCTTTTAGTTACCCAATAAAAGCTAGAAAAATAAACTCTTTAATAGACTTTAATAACATGTTATTTGAGTGGACTTACTGTGCAAACATATACATAACAATTGGCTATTTTAAAAAAATATGACTCTGTGCTGCATTTATATTTTTACTTAAACGGAAAAATGTGTGTTTTTCTCAAATTTTATTTCCATGCTTGTTTATTGGTTTGTTAAAGGAACACTTGAGCATTCGCATTAAAAACATTTAATTTCATAAATACAATTATAACACTGTAATGTCCTATTGTTTACTTACATTTCAGGACTTCCACCATATCCCAAAAATAAAGTCCAATCCTCCAATCCCTCGATAGGATGGACCCTTCCACGGAGCTTTGCATCACTCTCAGGATATCCTTTCTAGGGACAATCTCGCAGGCCAATCCATTGCTTCTCAAAGAGAAGCATTGGGGTACTACTCGAGGCACTCAGTGAAGAAATAAATAAATTAAATAAAAATAAATTTAAAAAATAATTATACTAAAAAAACAAAAATTTTAATTAATCGGTCTTCTGCTTCATCTGGGGGAACTGTCTGACAGCCCAGACAGTCCCCCCTCTGCAAATTAGGACCCCCCCCAGGGGCCATGTGACCACCCTGCAAGAGCCGTCACATGGCCGTAATAGGTGTCCACAGTGCTTACAGCAGGGGGACTGCCTGAACTGAAAGGCACAAAAGAAGAAAAACAAAGGCAGCACTCCAGGATATAGAAGGTGAATTTATTCGTGGGTTCACCACCACTTATTTTGGTGAGGTGATGAACCCACAAATAAATTCACCTTCTATATCCTGGAGTGCTGCCTGTGTTTTTCTTCTTTGGTACTACATTGGTGAATTCAGTGGTGTCCATCCTATACATAGAGCACCCCCTTGGTGGAAGGCCGGAGCATATGTGCAGGACCTGAGTGCAGGGTATTCTGTTTTTGTTGAAATGACAGGCAGTCCCCCTGCTGGTGAGTGTAAAGTATAAAATAAAGATAATAAATCAAAATTTTTTTTTTATATATATATATATATATATGTATATATGATATATTATATATATAATATGTATATATATATATATATATACCGTATATACTCGAGTATAAGCCGACCCGAATATAAGCCGAGGCCCCTAATTTTACCCCAAAAAACTGGGAAAACGTATTGACTCGAGTATAAGACTAGGGTGGGAAATGCAGCAGCTACTGGTAAATTTCTAAATAAAATTAGATCCTAAAAAAATTATATTAATTGAATATTTATTTACAGTGTGTGTATATGATGAATGCAGTGTGTGTGTATGAATGCAGTGTGTGTGTATGAATGCAGAGTGTGTGTATGAATGCAGTGTTTGTGTATGAGTGCGGTGTGTGTATGAATGCAGTGTGTGTATGAATGCAGTGTGTGTATAAGTGCAGTGTGTGTATATGAGTGCAGTGTGTGTGTGTGATGCAGTGTGTGTGCATAAATGCAGTGTGTGTATGAGTGCAGTGTGTGTATGAATGCAGGGTGTGTGTATGAATGCAGTGAGTGTGTATGAGTGCAGTGTGTGTGTGTGTGATGCAGTGTGTGTTTGTGTGGCAGAGCCTTGGTGGGGGGGTGGGCATTTTTATAAAAAAAAATTTTTATATTATTTTAATTTTTTTTTGTTATATTATTTTTTTTATTATTATTATTTATATATTATTAATATTTAAATTTTTTGTTAGATTATTTTTTTTATTATTATTATTATTTATATATTATTAATTAATATTATTTAAATTTTTTTGTTATATTATTTTTTTTTATTATTATTATTATTTATATATTATAAATTTATTTATTTTGTCGTCCCCCCTCCCTGCTTGATACATGGCAGGGAGGGGGGCTCTCCTTCCCTGGTGGTCCAGTGGCATTGGCAGTTCAGTGGGGGGAGGAGTGGGGCTGGCAGAGCTGTTACTTACCTCTCCTGCAGCTCCTGTCAGCTCTCTCCTCCTCCGCGCCGGTCCGTGCAGCTCTTCTGTCAGCTCACACTGTAAGTCTCGCGAGAGCCGCACTATGACCCCGCGGCTCTCGCGAGACTTACACTGGGAGCTGACCGAGGTGCTGACCGGACCGGCGCGGAGGAGGAGGGAGCTGACAGGAGCTGCAGGAGAGGTAAGCGCTCGCTGCCAGCCCCCAGTCTGTATCATGGCAATGTAAATTGCCATAATACAGACAGTGACTCGAGTATAAGCCGAGTTGGGGTTTTTCAGCACAAAAAATGTGCCGAAAAACTCGGCTTATACTCGAGTATATACGGTATATATATATCTTATATATAACACCATACAAAGTGTATTTTTATATTAATATATTTGTATATTAATATAAAATACACTTAGAGTGAAATTACACACGTATATATATAATATATATATAATAATATATATATATATATATAATATACATATATATATATTATAAAAATAAATAATAAAAAAATTTAAAAATAATTTTAAAAAATTATATATATATATATGTAATTTTATTTTAACTGTATTTTTATATTAATATATAAATATTTATATCAAAATACACTTAGAATGAAATTATATATATATGTATATATATATATGTATATATAAATAAATAAAAATAATAGGAAATATACAATATACATGTCTCTATACATAATTACATAAATAATTTCATAAATATACATTTAGACTTCAAATATATAAATATGTATATATATTTAAATTATACATGCACATTTATGTAATATTTTTACATAATTAAGTAATTTTATTGATTGCAATTTGGGGGACCTTCCTGACAACCCAGGCCAAAATCCAGAGAATTTAATTTGCTAGCACTATATTTAACCCTGTAACTTTCCAAGACACCCTAAAACCTGAACATAGGGGGTACTGTTTTACTCTGTAGACTTTGCTGAACACGAACAATAGTGTTTCAAAACAGTAAAACATATCACAGCGATGATATTGTCAGTGAAAGTGATGTTTATTTGCATTTTTTCACACACAAATGGCACTTTTACTGATGCTATTGTTGTGATACGTTTTACTGTTTTGAAACACAAATATTTGTGTTCAGCGAAGTCTCCCATGTATAACAGTATGCCCCACATACAGGTTTTATAGTTTTTTTGAAAATTACAGGGTCAAATACAAGGCTGTTTTTTCACATTGAAATTTGACAGATTGGTTATGTTGCCTTTAAGAGTGTATGGTAGCCCAGGAATGAGAATTACCCCCATGATGACATACCATTTGCAAAAGTAAACAACCCAAGGTATTGCAAATGGGGTAGGTTTAGTCTTATTTAGTAGCCACTTAGTCACAAACACTGGTCAAAGTTAGCGTTCATAATAGTTTTTTGCATTTTAACACACAAACAAATATAAATGCTAATTTTGGCCAGTCTTTGTGACTATGTGGCTACTAAAAAAGACTGGACATACCCCATATTGAATACCCTGGGTTGTCTACTTTTCAAAAATATATGGTTTGATGGGGGTAAATTACATGGGCCGGCTTCAAAAATGTCCCAAATAGGACATGGGTGCATTATGACCAGATATGAAAATTCCAAGTTGGAAAACTGGAATGCGCACCCTCCAAATATGGCCTTTTAGCCCCCAGAGAACCCAACACACCTATACATGGGAGATGTTGACGAACACATATTGGGGTGTTTTTGGGCAGCAGCCCTTAAAGTTCTAAGTAAATATATTCTTAAATTGCTATGTGTGTCAAAAAAATAACCAATTATTTATTTATTTTTAAATTTGGCATAGATTGGTGGTAAAATGGTTGCATGAAAAGAGTCAAAATACCCCAAGTATAATACCTTAGGTTGTCTTCTTTTAAAAAATACATACATGTGAAGGGTTATTCAGGGATTCCTGACAGATATCAGTGTTACAATGTAACTTGCGCTAATTTTGAAAAACAAAATGGTTTGGAAATAGCAAAGTGCTACTTGTACTTGTAGCCCTATAACTTTCCAAAAAAAAAAGCTAAGAACATGTTAACATTGGGTAATTCTAAACTCAGGACAAAATTTTAAAACTATTTAGCACTGGTGTTTTTTGGCGGTTTTAGATAACAGATTTTGGGGATCAAAGTTAGAAAAAGTGTGGTTTTTTTTTACATATATTCATCATATTTTATAACCTTTTTCTATAGTAAATTATATGATATGATGAAAATAATGGTATGTTTAGAAAGACCATTTAAGTGTGAGAGAAACAGTATATAATATGTGTGGGTACAGTAAATGAGTAAGAGGAAAATTACAGCTAAACACAAACACCGCAGAAATGTAAAAACAGCCCTGGTCCCAAATGGTAAGAAAATTGAAAAACGGTCAGGTCACTAAGGGGTTAAATCAGCCTCCAAAAACTTCCATTTTGCTCTCTTCCAGATATGTCTTACTTACATGCTAACAGGGTTAGTGAATTTCACATTTAAGGGCAACATTATTGAACTGGAAAAATTCTCTAAGTCAGCTTTCAGTTCCGCTACCTTGGCATTAAATTTGAAATGTACTTTGAATTCACTGTGAATCCTCACTTTAGTGAATAACCCTGTTAATCTTGTGGTCTATAAACAAACCAAAACTCGCCAAAAACCCAAGATTATCTGATTATCTTGGAGTATAGTTGCATAAGCTTATTTGAGTAGAGTCAAATATAGCAAAACAAGGATTTATAGGGTTGGGTTATATGGATTAATAGAAGGTGTTATAGGGTGGGGGGTTATATGGGGAAATAGTTTTATGAATAATAGGAATAGTTTTAGGGAGGGGTCATTGGAGGGGATATAAGGAGGGGTTATATGAATTAATAGTTATCTGGGCAATAGATGCATTAATAGGAAATAGGAAGGACAGGTTAGGATCTATACGGTATTTTATTGCATAATCAGTGATCTACATGGAGTAATGAATCATTAAATCTATTAAAGGGTAAAATTGTAATGTATCATAAAAATCAATGTATACTGCTATGTTCTACAGGTACCCAATCAAAACCCCCAGGCCTGGTTGCTATGGAGATAGAAATAACCTTCCTGGTGTAAGGACTTACGGAGAACGAGACCCACAGGAGAACTATGATGTATATTGTTATACTGAAGATTCCCAAGGTAGAATTTCAGAGTGATACAGTAGCAAAGCAACAGTCATGAGAGATCATTGCAACTCAGGGGCAGCATGGCATCACATTGGCTGTATACAAATGTTTTATATGGACACCTGCATACCTTAGAATCTCATTATATAAAATTGTATTGTTGCTTTTATATCACCCAGCTCCTTAGCCCACTTTTCTAAATGGTTTAATGGTTTAAGCCTTGAAATTGCAGAGTGCTTTTTAAACATGAAATCATGTTGTTCTCAGTCAAATTGCATACTTTTACCAGTTGGCATTGGATTTTGGTTTTAAATTAGCATGCTGTCAGCAATCCACTAGTCGCCTTTAACACAATACATTGCACCCAGTTGACAAGGACATTATGGGTGTGCAGATATTTGTGTGACACCTTTGGATACTTATATAATGTTTTTTTTTAACTATAATGGAGAACTTGAAGGCAAGTACCCTCTAACACTAAGCCCCATTTAATACCCTTAACACTAAAACCTTAGACTGTTCAAACCCTACAACCTCTTAACCCCTTAAGGACACACGACGGATATATTCCGTCATGATTCCCTTTTATTTCAGAAGTTGTGTCCTTAAGGGGTTAATGCTCCCTGCATTTCACAACTCTCCACTCCTAAATAACCCTAGCACTAATCTCACCTTGG